TTTGAGGAAAGTTCTTCCCAGAACATGAGGGAATTTCATCCCAGAACTTGAGGGGAGTTCTCCCCAGAACTTGAGGAGAGTTCTTCCCTGAATTTTAGGGATGTTCTTCCCAGAACGTGAGGGAAGTTCTTCCCAGACCTTGAGGAAAGTTCTTCCCAGAATTTTAAGGATACTTTTCCCAGAACTTGAAGGAAGTTAATTCCAGAACATGAGGGAATTTCTTCCCAGAACTTGAGGAGAGTTCTTCCCAAAACTTGAGGGAAGTTCTTCCCAGAATTTTAAGGATGCTCTTCGCAGAACTTAAAGGAAGTTAATTACAGAACATGAGGGAATTTCTTCCCAGAACTTGAGGAGAGTTCTTCCCAAAACTTGAGGGAAGTTTTACCCAGAACTTGAGGGAAGTTCTTCCCAGAATTTTAAGGGAGTTCTTCTTAGAACATGAGGGAATTTCATCGCAGAATTTGAGGGAAGTTCTTCTTAGAACTTGAGGGGAGTTCTTCCCAGAACTTGAGAGAAGTTCTTCCCAGAATTTGAGGAAAGTTCTTCCCAGAACATGAGGGAATTTCATCCCAGAACTTGAGGGGAGTTCTCCCCAGAACTTGAGGAGAGTTCTTCCCTGAATTTTAGGGATGTTTTTTCCAGAACGTGAGGGAAGTTCTTCCCAGACCTTGAGGAAAGTTCTTCCCAGAATTTTAAGGATACTTTTCCCAGAACTTGAAGGAAGTTAATTCCAGAACATGAGGGAATTTCTTCCCAGAACTTGAGGAGAGTTCTTCCCAAAACTTGAGGGAAGTTCTTCCCAGAATTTTAAGGATGCTCTTCGCAGAACTTAAAGGAAGTTAATTACAGAACATGAGGGAATTTCTTCCCAGAACTTGAGGAGAGTTCTTCCCAAAACTTGAGGGAAGTTTTACCCAGAACTTGAGGGAAGTTCTTCCCAGAATTTTAAGGGAGTTCTTCTTAGAACATGAGGGAATTTCATCGCAGAATTTGAGGGAAGTTCTTCTTAGAACTTGAGGGGAGTTCTTCCCAGAACTTGAGAGAAGTTCTTCCCAGAATTTGAGGAAAGTTCTTCCCAGAACATGAGGGAATTTCATCCCAGAACATGAGGGGAGTTCTCCCCAGAACTTGAGGAGAGTTCTTCCCTGAATTTTAGGGATGTTCTTCCCAGAACGTGAGGGAAGTTCTTCCCAGACCTTGAGGGGAGTTCTTTCCAGAATTTGAGGGAAATTCTTCCCAGGACATGAGGGAATTTCATCCCAAAACTTAAGGAAGTTCTTCCCAGAACTCGAGGGGAGTTCTTCTCTGAATTTTAAGGATGTTCTTCCCAAAACTTGAGGGAAATTTTACCCAGAACTTGAGGGAAGTTCTTCCCAGAATTTTAAGGGAGTTCTTCTTAGAACATGAGGGAATTTTATCGCAGAATTTGAGGGAAGTTCTTCTTAGAACTTGAGGGGAGTTCTTCCCAGAACTTGAGAGAAGTTCTTCCCAGAATTTGAGGAAAGTTCTTCCCAGAACATGAGGGAATTTCATCCCAGAACATGAGGGGAGTTCTCCCCAGAACTTGAGGAGAGTTCTTCCCTGAATTTTAGGGATGTTCTTCCCAGAACGTGAGGGAAGTTCTTCCCAGACCTTGAGGGGAGTTCTTTCCAGAATTTGAGGGAAATTCTTCCCAGGACATGAGGGAATTTCATCCCAAAACTTAAGGAAGTTCTTCCCAGAACTCGAGGGGAGTTCTTCTCTGAATTTTAAGGATGTTCTTCCCAAAACTTGAGGGAAATTTTACCCAGAACTTGAGGGAAGTTCTTCCCAGAATTTTAAGGGAGTTCTTCTTAGAACATGAGGGAATTTTATCGCAGAATTTGAGGGAAGTTCTTCTTAGAACTTGAGGGGAGTTCTTCCCAGAATTTGAGGGAAGTTCTTCTCAGAACATGAGGGAATTTCATCCCAGAACTTTAGGGGAGTTCTTCCCTGCATTTTACGGAAGTTCTTCCCAGAACGTGAGAGAAGTTCTTCCCAGAACTTGAGGAGAGTTCTTCCCAGAATTTCGGCATTTACATTAATACGGCATTAATTTTGTAACTAACTTCTGGAAAGTTTTGAAACATACAGAATTTTTTTAAGAACTCCGAAAAGTTCAGCAAAGTTTTTGGAAAGTTTTGCAAACTTTCTGTGACTTCGAATTCTGTTTACAAAACTGTATAGGTATTTTTCAAATGTTATGCGAAAAGTAAGTACATGCCCGAATACGCAACGAACAAGTAGTTATAAGTGGAATTACGTGGAAGTTCTGAAGAGAATTCCACTGAGTTTGTGAGGACATGTTCAGGTGAATTTCAAAAAATCTTAAAGAAGAACTGAGGATAATTCCAACAAATATGAAAAACTCCACAACTTGAAACAAGGGCGTAGCCAGGATCGATCAAGGGAGGGGCGAAAATAAAATTACTATGGAAAATTTGGCCGAATGCCATTTCACCGAAAGCCTTAGTAGTGCTGAGTTAAGGGGCGGGGTGGCTAAATTCTGACAAGAGTTTCAAAGCAATGCTTCTAAGGAATTTTGACATGAATTTCAAGATATTTGCTATAAGAATTCGAAAGAAATCTGAAACTGATGTTGATTCGATTCCAACTAAATCGTATGGAGTATTGACTATATTTGACAGCGTCAAGCAAAGGCTATTATTTAGAAGTGGTTTTGAGTTACATTCCATCGAAGTTCATGCTCACAACATTTGAGGAAAGCTTTTTGTTTATAGTTTGTTTACTCGTCAAGGCTCATTCGCAGTAGCTTCGCCGAGCCGAAATTCCGGATTTTGATGAACAAAATTGCTTGAAACTATAGTTGGTAGAGCGGGGGCCGATGCGTTTGAGGATAGTGTAATGAGAATTAAACAATATTTATTACGGAATTTTGGGGAAGTTTAAGCACACAAATTATAACGGCATCTTATGAAAAATTCTAGAGAAATTTTGAAAAAAACTTGGAGGAAATTCTTAAAATATTTCTGAGGATGAAAACGGAGAAATTCTGAACAGTATTTCAAAGAAATCTTGACAAAAACTCCAAGGGCATCCTGAAAAGAGTTCCAAAAGAATTCTGATAAGAAATCTAAGGGAATCTCAAGCTGATAATAGTTTCGAAGGAATTCTAAGGCGGATTAAAATTCGGAGGATAGTTTCTTGAGAGTTTTGAGGAAGATTTCAAGAGACTTCTAAGGAGGACATCAAACAACATCTGGAAGAATTCAAGGGAAAACTTTGAAAATAAGCTCATTGAAATAGAGCATTTCAACCGAATTTAGATAGAATACATAAGCAATACTGATGAGATGAACTAGCCAACGAGCTAAAAATCAAGCTAATAAAGCTCTAAAAAAGGAATACTGCGGTGAGATCCTAGGAAATCAACAGGAAGTTCTTCGAACAATTAAAAGCTAATAAAAATGACTATTGTGAAACTACAAAACACATGAAGCATCTCTAAAAAGTTTGGTCAGTCTGCGGGCAAACATTCAACAGACTGAAAGCATTCCGCGGGCCGTTGCAGTCAGTTTCTTAGCAAATGAGTTCAGCTTTTGGGAGGCTAATCAGACAGACAAAGAGACGTAAGTCTTTAAATAAATTTCCCTTGAATATAATATATTATCGATATTATCGTCACGGAACTCACACGAGCTTTTCGCGGAAAAAAGCTTGTCAAAGTTATCCGATGTCAGCGCTGTGGTGGGAGATTCGCACAACTTATAATATTCCATTCGAACGTTAAATGCGTGTACGACGATTGAGGAGAAAGATTTACGTCTGTTTGTCTGTGCTCGAAGTTTCTTAGACCTAAGTTAATAAAATTCACCGATTTCGTAGACAATATTCGTTAAGGAAATCTCTTTAGATCTGTCCTTGCAATTGAAGACCAACCCCGGAAGTTCAACAGTCCTGCCCGTCAAGTCTCCTTGCTAAGTGGTGCCATGAACATTGTGATTTTGACAAAACCGGAATAGGGGAAAAGTTGGCTTCGGCAATACCTTAACCTATTATCGTCAGGGGGTAAACAAAGTCCTAGAGCACTCAAATTTGGCCAATAGTTGCTCTGAAACACAATGTATCCACATGCCAAAATTGAGCTCTCAAGGACGTTGTTTACCCCCTGACGATAATAGGTTAAGGTATTGCCGAAGCCAACTTTTCCCCTACGTATGTAGAAATATTCTGCTTTGTCAACACAAATAGTTTAACATAGTCAATTTAAGTAAAATATCAGTGAATATTCTGGGAAATGGATTATTCATCTCCGTGCTAGCAATGACCAAAATGAAGAGTGGACCGAATAGTCCCAATGTGCAGTTAGGCATCGTTTAAAGAATTCATTTAGTGTAGTTCATAACATAAATAAGCTATTCTGGAAATTCGTAAAATCATACCAAATTTATCGTTTCTACAAGAACTCATTCTCTACGAAATCCGCTTAAATCTACGAAGTTACATGAGTGTTAGTAATCTACTAAAATGATAAAATCCTATCTATTGAAGAGTGTTAGTCCTACTATAAATTCCAAAATCATAATTAAAAAAAACCTGCCACTTACTAGGTTAAGCTTAATCTCCCTGAACCATGGAAGCAAGATTGCGGTGTGGGTGTGTGATGGGGGAAGCATTGCGTGCTATCTGGCAGCCAAACTGTGCTGACCGAACCAAACCGAACCGTAATAGATGTTACAAACTAGGAAGCGATCTCTACAAGCTGTTTTTTTTTGAAAATTAGATGTGATTTTTGTGCAAACAGGAACAAACTATCCACCGAGCAGCTTTGTACAACTTTGCTGAAGCATTAAATTAAATAGGAGACATACTAAGCTTAAGGAGAAGTTAAGCAAAACTTCACCAAACGGGTATTGGTATGGGTATAGGTATCACAGCGCAAACACCGATAGCTCATCGAGTAGGAACGTATCCATAAGGGGGATCTTGCTAAGGAAGAAACCGAAAATACGGCTAATCACCTTGATCGTGACCGAGGACCGGTAGACCTGCGGAGTGTCCGTGTTCTGGATCAGATCCATCAGGCTACGGTCGTCCTCCTCGGTGCCGGTGATGATCGACTCGTCATCCACTCCCCGGTCTTCGAAGCCCCGCAGGCAGCGGGTGCACATTTGGCCTTGCCTAAAAACGGTTCAAAGAAAAAATGCCGCAATTAGAGATAGACTTCGGTAGTGACGTCGGCGGATGCAATTGGACAACAACACGGACCCCACTAACCTGACTTCCTCCAGGATCGAGAGCTCCTCGTGCACGGACTTCATCTCCTCCGTGGTGTTGATTTGCACTATCTTGCTCTGGAGGATTTGATTTTCCTGTGCGATGGCTGCCAGCTGTTCCTCGAGTTCCGCTACCCGGTTCTGCTCGGCGATGAAACACTTGCGGGTCTTTTCCAGCTCCTGCATTATCCGGATCAGTTCCTCGTTCTCCTCGGCCAGGTTCAGATCGGACAGGTTCTGCTGCTGGTATTTGCTGTGCAGGAAACTGCTTCCGTCGGTGACGTCCGTCGATTGCGACTGGTCCCGGAAGGCGAAGGAGAAGTTTTCCGGCCGCGAAGTGTCGATCTCGGTGATCTGCGGTTGGAAAGGAAAGTTAATGGTAGTGCATTTTAAATTGGACGGTTTGAGAAAAAAAAACTAACCTCATCTTCCTCAGGACCGCTGATATCCCCGTCGCCCGCATCGGAACCGACCGGCCGCAGCAGAACGCCATCCTTCCCATTTCGGCCTCCATTGGTGTCGTTCTGCAACCGTTCGTTTTTCTTACGTTCCGCTTCCAGCTGCCTCCGGACGTCGTCCACCGTTTTGTTCAGTTCCTCAACCTTGGATTCTAGGGTTTCGATAGTGCGACACAGGCTGTAAATACATGGGAGATTAGCACGGTGTTTGTTTTCGATAGCATAGGGGGACGCGCGCGTGTGTTCGGTTGACCATGAGAAGAAAGTGCTGCGACGCGTTCCGAAAATAGGCTAGGTCTATTTGGCCGTGCCGTGGACAAAGGAAACGATGTTAGGTAAGCGCTTGCTTATGCTCGCGATCGTTTGTTGTTTTGGACGATCAGGCTATTCGATAGTAGGTTACTTAAAAATAGATCATGCGCGCGGATCAACAAAACACATTCGTCGGAAAGAATGCGTCGTCGTCGAAAATTTCTTCTAGCAGAATAAAGTTGTTTATGACGGACTTTCAATCACATGTCGAGCCGCCGGATGATGTTGTTTAGTTGTTTACCTACAGATATTTAGGTACTTACGTTTTAGCATGCTTCTTTTCGGCTTGGTTCTCTAAAGCTAACTTGTACTTGTCCCGTTCAAGGTCCTGTATGCTGACTTCCAGCTGTTCGTAGATTTTCATCCGGGAGTCGTTGACCTCCCGCAGGGCGCCATTCTGTTTCGTCAGGTACTGCAAGTTGAATGAGGGAAAAGAAAGGAGAAGTTTGACATTAGTTGTCTTTGAAGTTGGACAACAATTGGGATCAATTATTGGCTTCAATTCTAGATAGAGCTGGAATTAGGGCGTAACAGCTTTTGTAAACAATTACTTCTCTTGATGATTTCTATGAATTCAAGGCACACCTACGCAAATCAACTTAACCGTTGAATAGGGGAGGTCTTCCTCTACCAGATGGTGATGTTGATTTGCGCTGGCGAGCTTTGACTTTGTAGAAATCATCGAAAGAAGTCGACAGTGAGCATGCATAAGGGCGCATACGCGATGATCGATTCTCATAATCGATTTTCTCTTTTCTAGAAATTGTTCAATGCAGAGTTGTAACAGGTTGTATTGGCTATCAAAAGCAACAGCCAACGCACCGAGGAACGTCAATTCTAGCGAGCTATTAACAAAACAGAAAATCGACGAAGAGAATCGATCATCGCGTATATTTAGGCCCTTATGCATGCTCACTGTCGAATTGTTCCAATTTGGCGGGAAGTTCATTGAAGTTCAGATTTGCTGAAGAATCGAAAGCGCCGGGTTGAAATCTTCCAGAGTAATATAGCAAATTATTTTGGTGCTACCTTGTAGTCGGTTTCGGCACTAAGGGCAGCTGGAAAGTGACCACAGTCCGCTTAAATCTTTTGGAAAGATTTTGGAAAATTATAAACTTTGGTACTCAATGATGACACGATTTTTGCAAATAGAAGGAATAAAGTTTGAAATTACAACAAAAACAGTTTATTCAAGTTTATTTTCAGCTCCTCGATGATGAGACATCTTTAGATTTACTTTTGGTCAGCCTTCGTTCAGGTTGAATTTATTGATTAAAATTTATGTTATATTTAAGCCCTTTGATCATGGAAAATCTGTAGATTTATATTATACAGCCATATTCTCGTTTTCGTTCGAGCTGTGCTTTCCATACAAAAAACAGTTTAATTTCGTTTATCTCCTTAATTGAGACCAAAATCGCGACTTAAGGGATGTTCACGGGTTCAGACTTTTTAAACACGTTTATCTTCTTTAGTTAAGCCCTAAATTGCAATTTTTTCATCGATTTCATTGAGATCCTTTCCAGTTATTTGTTTAAATTTAATTCAATCTTTACCAAATAATGTCTCAAAAATAAATTGAGGAGCTTGGCAGCTTGCTGGATGCCAATTTATGTTTAAGACGTCTTCTTCTTCTTGTTCGTATTTCAAGCTTATTGCTTAGCGCATATTAGTGTATTGCGTGCTCTCAACTTAGTGTACTAAATGCACTTCCACAGTTATTAATTGAGAGCTTTCGATGCCAATACCAATGAATGAATTTGTATATTGAGTGGCAAGCACAATGATACACTATGCCCAGGGAAGTCGAGAAAATTTCCAACCCGGAAGATTCCCTCGACCGGACGGGGAATTGAACCCACCGCCTCCGGCTTGGTAATACCGTGCCTTTACTGACTAGGCTATGGGCCCCCCTGTTTAAGACGTGTTGATCGGAAATCCGTATCAAATCCTTTTCAAGAGTCTGTGAGGTCGTTGCTGATATAAGGAGCTCGGTGGCCTAGTAAGCGACCGATTTTGCTTACTGATCTGAAAATTATGGGTTCAATCTCCAGCTCCTTCCCATAATAGGGCTTTGATGTGAATCGGATTTTTTCTTAATATGAGATAAAGCTTATTGGAATTCAGTTGGAGAAACGAGAACGTAAAAGAAATAATAATCGAGTTTTAGAAAAGACGTGTTGATTTGAAATCTAAAACAAATCCTTCTCAAGAGTAGCTGTTATCGTAGTATTAGCAACAATCAATACGAAACTAACGATTGGTCCCAAGCAAACGGTTAACGTACCCCATTCTAGTCAATATTCTAGTACTACACTATGTTTGTTTTGATTTGCTTTGAAATTTTGACAGATAAAATGAGGGGTTAGTGGATTTTCCTATGTTTCGAGGGGTGAATCGATTAGCTTTAGACCGAAGATAGTACCAGAGCTGAGCCAAAAAGTTGAGCACGTTTCTTCGGGATCTTCTGGTCTTAGAGTTACCTCTATGGTAATAGCAAGTTGAACAGGAACTTGGTCGTAATTGTTTTGTGAAATAAGGAGCTCGGTGACCTTGTGGTGACCAATTTTGCTTAGTGAGCGGAAAATGATGAACTCAAACACCTTTGCATTATAGAGCTATACTTTAAATCGGCTTTCTTTCATAATATGATGTGAAGCGTAATGAAACTCGGTTGAAGGGCCGGCTACGTAAAACAAGTAAAATTTGAGTTTTAGGAAAGACGTGTAGATTGGAAATTCAAATCAAATTCTTCTCAAGAGCAGTTGTTGTAGTCGTCGGAGAGGTCGCCGCCGGGATAATAACAAGTTGAACGGAAACTTGATCGTAATTATTTTGTGAAATAAGGAGCTCGGTGGCCTAGTGGCGACCGATTTTGTTTACTGAGCAGAAGATCGTGGGTTCAAGCCCACGCTTCTTTGCGCTATTGAATCGTTAGGACATCAATTTAGCATATCGTTTACCAAAACGAATTCTGCTGAAATCCCAATCCTTTTATCCAACATCCCAGTGATATCTCGTGGAAGTCCAGAGGTGTTCTCGGCTTTCATTAAAGCGAGTATTACGTCAACATGGTCCTGTCCATTCCTTTTTTGACCAGCATTCGAACGTGGCCAGCATTGGTATTGCTAATTTTTAGATTACCAGTTTTTACACATTGAGGATGATTGCTAGTCCCAAGCAACGTCTATTGGTTCTCTGTGTAATTACAGCTGATCTGGCAAAAACGGAGTTGCATTCACGTGCGGTCAATCATACTCATGCTCATGCACAGAAGGAACAAAATTTGAAATTGTTTCAGACATTTTTAAATTTAATTAATTAAGATTCGAGACAAATTTTAAAGATTTGATTGATTGAAAAATCTTCAAGACTGTGAGATTTAATGCAGGTTTCAAAATCATGATCCACAACACTTTAAAGGGCCGATGAAATGTTCAATTCCAGAACCTTAAAAAAAATAAGCTTGAAGAAATTTTCAAAATTCAAATATCAATATAATGGATCTTAGAAAATTTTCAAGATTCAGGGGCTTGAAGAAAATATTCATGATTCTGAAATTTCGTGTCATTATTTTGAGAATTGCTTAAGAATTTTGAGGCGAACTTAAAGGCAATTCTAAGGAATGCTTCCAAGCTAATTCTGAGGACCTTTTGATTCCAGTAAATGCTTAGGATAATTTCCTAGGGAGTTCTGAGAAGATTTCAAATGAAAAGAGCGTCAATTTAATTCAAAGTAGAGCTCCAAAGTGAGAAAAACATTCTTAAGATTTTTAAGCATAATTACTAGAGAGGGTCTAGTATAAGAGAAGAGCGCATTCAAAACAAACTGCCTCGGCATCCTATGCCTAGGTGGTGTCTAGCAGTACTCCCAAGTAATATTTCTGGTTTTATAAAGGTTCTGTAGCCATGATTTAGACTTGTAGAATGCTATAAAACCTTGATAAAACTTGCAATGTTGCTTGGGCTACCAATGCTATCAAGATAGGCGCTGCTAGATTTTCTCTGGCTTTGACAGCTCGTTTGGCTCAAAACTAGTCAGTCCGCTCCTCTCTTATACTAGACCCTCTCTAATAATTACTAAGCTAATGTGAGAATAATTCCTATTGAATTCTGAGGAGAAATTCAACGAGAGATCAAAGCATGCTTCCACCAAAGAAGAGTAACTCGAGCTAATGATTGTCTAGGAATATTGACTGATTGATTGATTGTGAGTAGAATAACAGGTGAATTTAAAGGAGATTCCTCCGACAAAGTAGAAGAAATTCCTCCGAGAAGGTAGAAGACATTCCTCCGAGAAGGTAGAAGAAATTCCCACGAGAAAGTAGATGACATTCCTCCGAGAAGGTAGAAGAAATTCATCCGAGAAGGTAGAAGACATTCCTCCGAGAAGGTAGAAGATATTGCTTCAAGGAGATAGAAGACATTCCTCCGAGAGGGTAGAAGAAATTTCCTCGAGAGGGTTGATAAATTGTCCCCGATCCTCAATTAACGAGAGAAGGAAAAGGGAAGTATGTAGTAGATAGAGTAAGTGTGGAATAGAAATGGGTAGAATCGAGTGAGGGTGAAGCGTGATAGACCGTATGTAAACGGAATCTGATTGGTTCAGAAGTTTTGATACAGCTAGAGCTATAAATATGAGGTACCTAAGCTCGTTGACGGCATCAAATATCATCATCTCATCATTCGCTGCCACACTGTTGAGCAGTTCATTTTATTCTCTCTCGTTTCGTTCGTTCGTTCGTTCGCAAGTCGAATTAACTCCGCTGACCCAGCCATGGGTAAGAAATCGCGCGGTAACGCGAGTGCCGGTTTACCGGGAAAACAGACTCTCCCAGGAGACGGCGCGACCACCGAGCCAGCCCAGAAGAAGCAGAAGAAAACCCCATTGCCCGTCCCGACAGGCGTTGCGGACCCGCAGCCGGGGCCTCCCGGAACTAAACGACCCAGACCTGAAGACAGCAGCGCCACCGCATCGGCAGCAAAAAAGCTGCTGAGCAACAATCCGTTCTCCGCCCTGCAGAACGGAGCCCAGCCGCAGTCGGACCCTGAGACGGTGCCTTAAAAAGTTAAGTTGCCACCCTTCTATGTGAAGGGCTTCCCTCCCGGGCTATGGGAGCAGCACCATTCAACGGTGCACGGAAGGCTACAAACTGATGGTCTCGGCCGAAAATCACTACAATGCAGTCCAGGCCCTCTTGGACAGGATGAAGCTGGAGTACTTCTCCCACGACGTCGAGGCCACCAAGCCGCTGAAAGTGGTGCTGCGCGGGCTCCACGACATGAACACCACCACCTTAATGGACGAGATTAAGGCGAACGGCCTCAAGCCGGTCGAAATCCACAAGATGACCCGCAGCAAGGCCATCAAGTATCGTGACCAGCTCTACCTGGTCCATCTGCAGAAGAACTC